CCAAAAAACAAGCACTCCAAATCTCGTCCAGACCTTATAATATAATATAACAGACAATATAATTATCCAAACCGACTCACTTAAACGATCAAACCAAAATATAACATTCACCTGGATTCCCAGCCATTCAAACATACCTGGAAATGACACAGCTGATACAGCAGCCAAACTAGCAACAACCCACACATCACCAAATATAAACTTTCACACATCCAAGACAGAAATTAAGCAACTCATCAAATCAAACATACTACATACCAACTTCCATCACAACATCAACACAAACAAATCAACATGGGTCACATCAATAATAAAATCACCATTAAGGAAAATCCCTGTATACTCTGACATTAAAAACATTGACACGGCTATAAACAGACTCATCACGGGCATCACAAACCTAAACCACACACTTTAGAAACAAAATAGACATACAGATGGCTTAGGTACACACTGCAATACTCAAGAAGAAATAAACCAAATACTCATTCACTGCAAACTACAACACACAAATATCAAGCAAATATCAAGCAACTACACAACAGCATTCCCCCTAAATATCACAACAATATCCCACTACTCCTTAATCCACAAACAGCCCCCACCCCCATCATCTTCAACGCCATAGCAGCTTACCTTCAAAACTCAAACTTATAACGAAGGATCTAGAACCTCTCATTTAAACTACATACACCTCTCTCACCTTCAACCTACTGTTACATTTAGATCAGGCGTTCAACCCTCAGTTATCCATTCTATGTCCCAAGTATAACAAATAAGCCCACAAATTCAATTATCCATACTCTGCACACGGCACGCTACCTTTCCCCTCTCGCTAATGTAAACACTGACAAGGTCAAGGCCACTCAACGCAGTCAGCTTACTCCCAGCGCTCGCCTTTCAGCTTCGGTCCCTAGTCTGTCGTACAGACCCTGAAGCAAATATATCCAAGAAAGCCCACAAAAGTCAAGAAAATGTGGCAAGTCTAGATTTCTGCAGGTTCAGGTTGAAAATGAAGAAAGTCTCAGAGCTCCTTTTCATTATATTTTATATTTTTTTACTATGAACTTATTTCAGTAAAATATGTTCATTTCAGAGACTAGTTGTTAGTCTACTTCGGTCCCCTGCCTCACTGCCTTCTACGCTCCTCGCTCGCCCCACACACACACATCCACCCCAGCTTAACCCTTTTCCCCTCCTTATATAGTCCCATTATTAAACTAATACAGCCTAACTGAACTACATTCTATGCCCCACTATGCTATACGTGTTTATAACTTACCCCTACTTCCCCACCCCCACTCACATCCTAGGCCCCCCTTAATACTATCTATCGTTTGATTAATCCTATCTCCTACCTATTAACAATCGTTACCCTTTTTTATTTCACTATTCCCTTCATAAACTCGGCTTTTACTATTTTATTTCGTTTATCTATTTTAAACTTTTTTATTCCAAATTCCAATTACGTTAATGCCCCAGTATTTACTTTTTTTTCGGTACGGTGGGTTGTTCCTTATTATAAACTTATTAATTATTATCTTATATCCCACCTACCCCGTCGGCGACATTGGCTACAGTCAGAAGCCGACGTTAAACCTCAAACCATCATCACAGTCCTTCACTCACAATGTAAGAAATGCATTACCTATAGTTAAACTATCTACAAGACACTGTGGAAGACAGTGTGTGTTCGTCTGTTTGTCTGTGTGTCTGTCGCTGTGTGTTAACATTACGATTAAAATTTCACTGTTGGCGAGAAACAGAAACGGTCTCCTGTTCTTTATTCTCACCCATGTTTTCTGCAAGCATTTAGAGTTTTATAAATCCACTTTCTTTCAGCACATCTTGATGCTTATGCAAGACACAATATAGGGCACGATATTGTGATAGTAATAGGGTATATTGTGATAATTATGCAAAACAATGGATGAAAGGCTTATACGAGGTGTTTATCTCTCTATAAATAGCCACTGTATCGACACCGTCTGAGAGAGAAGGTTGTTCGATAGATATATTTCACAGGAAATAGTTGAATTTTGAAACATCAATTTTTATTACTTTCCCTTACAGGCTGCTCTTTTCATATTTTGATTGAGATTATGACAAAATCTTCATTGAATACAGGGCTTGCTGATTCTGACAGAACCGGTAAAACCTTCACAATGTACACATGAAACCTTACAAACATACTCTATATAGCCCTCTACTCGAGAGAAAACACGTCTACTACATGATCGCAAGTATAATGAGTCTACTGTGTATGACGAGATTTAGATTTAATTTATTTGTATGACACATTTCATTTCACTGGATTCTATAAACACTGGGGGCGGTAGGGTAGTCTAGTACGCTCGTCCGGGTTCGATTCCCTAGATGGGTACAATGTGTGAAGCCCATTTCTGGTGTCCCCCGACGTGGTATTGCTTGGTGATACAATGCAGCGGGACTTGTCTGAAGTGGAGATGTAATCACTCAAATGATCAAAATACGTTCTGCAAATTACAATTGCCTCTTTTCTGTGAACATATTTCACGTCTGTATGTGTCACTGTATTCGATTGTTTATTGTTAATGATGTTGTGTCTGTTGTAGGCATGCTGCTTTATAATTTTTATAATCACTTTGTTTCTATTTTGTGAGTGTTTTTTAGCAGTAACATGCCAGATGCGTTGATGCATCCTCATGTCGTCTGGTCCTGACTCAATTATCGCTGGAATATTGCTTGGTTCGGCACGCTTACACACACACAATAGTTTGCATGATTAAGAATTATATACTGACATGTTTGATGTATTCCTACTTTGTAAAAGAAGTAACAAAGGGATAGGGGTGTACTTGACCATATTGTTTTATGCTCTAATCTTTTCAACGCGAGTGAGTTAATATTTAACGTCACTTCCACAATATTTCCTCCTTACCGTTATGAGAACAACATATACATGAGAACTATATAAAACCATACCATAAAACCCTGTCGTCAAAGGAAAGTAAAAACACCCAACTATCACAGGTTAGGGTAAAAAACGGCATGTTATAAAAAATAGACTACAATACAGTACAGTATAAAACCAGGCTACAGATCGCCAGCAACTGAAGTTAGGAAGGTGCTGCCTGCATAGACTCTAGCTGGATTTACATCATCGCTTGCTGGCGATTATTTAGAAATTTAGCCGAACATTATGAGGCAAATATTGTATGTCCCTGCGTCGTGGGGTTCAGTGTTATATACGTGGCTTTATCATTATTCAAGACTATAAGAAAGTTGAATGGAGAAGGTCTGGTGAACGATGGCAACGCTTGAGTGAACACCCTTATCTGTGTCATTCAAACAGTGACAATAGGCCTTTGCTGAAAGCAGCTTAAGCGTGTAATACTACATACAAGTGTGTATGTTTGGGTGGGAGTCTGAGTGTCAGTGTCTGTGTACAGTACAATAACCAGTGTGACATGCTCTTGGCGAGACACAGAAATGTTTGCCAAGATATTGGTGAGAATAGCTAGCTTTTACGTGTGAGAGGTAAGACGCATTTCGGTTGCTACAGCTAATCAGATAATAAGCATATATGCTACAAATCTTTCATTAATTTCTGTTTCTGAGAGTGAGTGAGTGAATGCGAACAGCTAATCAGATAATACGCAGATATGCTCCAAATCTGTCATTACGTTTCTGTTTCTGAGAGTGAGTGAGTGATGGCGGCGGTCCGTAAACAATCGAATCCGGACCAGATAATACAGTGATCAACAACATGCACGTAGATCTACGCAGTTGGGATATGATGACGTGTCAACCAAGTCAGCGAGCCTGGCCATCCGATCCCGTTAGACGCCTCTTGCGACAAGCATGGGTTACTGCAGATCTCAATTCTAACCCGGAGTCTGTTTCTTGGAGAACAGGTACATCTTTACTACTTAAACGTTAAAAACATACCCTACAAAGAGGGCAAACACGAAATAGACGACTGTACTAATAGCTGCGGCGGCTGAGTGGGATAGATGGCTGACTTTGTGTGCTGGTGATCAGCTGTCTGACTCTGAGAATGTGGCTTCCAATCCCGGATGGGACTCTACCTAACTAAAGAACTAGAATCTATATTTTACTGAGAAACTTCCAAATATAACGCGTGACAAATGTAATAGTAATATAGAGCGAATGGCAAGGAGGAGATTGAATATATTTCTAAGACACAGTTCCTTGAATTCTATATGCCCTAAAAACAAACTAACGTGACACTCCGATTATTTGCACAAGACCAAAATGATGTTTTACAGATTGGACACAAGTATGGTTTGTGACTGGTAACGATGCTATGATTCAGTGTATTCCCGTTCACAATGCCGACGCAGTTACTCTACACAACTGTGCATGCATGGGCGTCACAAAATCTGGTTGTATCTTTACAATGCGGCAGGAATTGTATACAGTGACGATGTAATCACAATCTGCATAATTAATTAAATAATTAATCAATGTATTCCTCATAGTTTCTCTTATGTTCTTCTTATAATTTACTTATGTTGTTTGAATTTCTTGTGCGTGTTTGTATTTTGTGATGATGTAAAAACAATATGCAAAATAATATTTACCTCTGATCTATGAAAATAATTAACATCTGAGTGTGTATTTATTTCTTGGTAGTTTTTCTTACATGTTGTTTTGGAGTTTGTAAATATTTTGTTTTGTTGGATTTATTTTGTATTGTTTTTGTGTGGTTAGTTTGTGTGATTATCATGCCAGTGGCGCAGATTGGAGCTCATGGCATCCAACACTGGTGTGTCCTGTCTAGACTGGTGTTACAGACCGCCGTTATAAAGTAGGAATATCGCTAAGTGCAGACTTACATAAATAGACAAACGATAACGTAGACGATGAAATATTAACTGATACGTTTGAGGCATATTTAGTAGTAATATGTTACCGTTACAAGGAAACATAAGCACGTATCATATTTTACAATTGTAATGCGATAACAGTCAGGCGTCATCGTCCAGAAGTGACGTACGTGTCAACAGAGGAGGAAGTTACCAGTCCAGGTAAGCGTGTTGTGTTTCGTCTCTGACTTTGTCTTCCTATACATTGTTATCTGTTCGATATTAAGGGTCAAATATTGCGCGTATATGTCACTACATTACCAGGATTCTGAAATTAACAGCTATACTTTCATTTATGCAGCACATAGCCTGGATATTAGTGTTAAATGACTTACACAACTTCTTACTTTCGCTTTAGAACTAGGTCGGGGTTCATTCACGACAGCCATGACTCACTTAACTACTGTTATGTTGTGGGAATGTGACACTCGGTTGTTGGGGATAATGTCAGCGCGACTTTGAAAGGCGTGCATGTCTTACTGCTACGTCGATATTTCAATGTGTGAATTTCAATTATACATAGTGTGTGACAACAGTGTATAGCCTAGATATTCGAGTTAGCTGACTGCCACACTACACGTTCCTATATTTGCTGAGTATCAGCTTAAAGCATGTCACTACCTCAGTCCTTAGTTATTCACGCAACCCGTAGCCCACCTTGACTGCTGATACTATGTGTACAGATAAGACTCGTTTGTGTACGATAGCTTTAGATACTTTGTGTATATTCACCCATATTGATTACAGGTAATACCGTTGACTGACACCTGCTTTGCAGTGATTGTTAGTTTAGAATAGTAACATTTGTTGAAGCTACAAGTAGCTTGGGACTTAAGCGGTTGCAGTATATTTACTCGTCATCATAGTTTGAAAAAAGAATTTACCCATAATATTCTGTCCCTTATAAAATGTATCCACGCCAGTGCTATTAGTCATTATATATGTCAGTTTATTGATCCATTTCTTAGAAAATTCTGATACGAGTTAATGCTTTTAAAATACATTAAAGAGACTTATCTCAACAAACAAATACTGACTAACACATAAACAGATTCAAATTACATCTGTATTTTCTTCTTTTGGTAACATTATGTTGACAATATAATTTCCCTTACAGACAATCTACCACCTAGCTATAGCTTTTTTCCCGATTTTCATTCCCATTTCATTCAAAATATGTTTATATCTACCATCGTTTTAAAAGTAGAATATCTGGTCTTTTAATGTTCGGCTAAATGACCAAAATATAGCCAACACCTGAGGGAATGGTGTAAATCCAGCTCAGGTCCATGCAAGAAGCAAAAGTATAATAAGTCCCTATGGTCGCTGGTCCCTTCAGTTGTTGGCGATCAGTAGCATGTTTTTATTTTGTATTTTTTTCCGTATTAATAGATTTTATTGCAACATACCAGTTTTAAACCAAATTTGTGATATTCTTGTATTTTTGCTGTCCTTCGACGACAGGAGTTTAAGGTTATAAATATATTGTGGTTTAATGTATAGCTACGATAAGGCTGAAATACTGGCGATGTGACGTTAAAAAATAACTCACTCACTCATTCAACAGTGCTCAATGTCAACTGCATCATTAACTCTGTTTATTAGAAATTAACATGCTCAAGGAATCTTGTTTAACATAATATGTTACGAGGATAAGTTCAAATTTAACTCCATAATCACTGTATGCACTATCATATACACATATTAAATATGGTCGTAACATTGCGCAATACAGACATCAGATTAATGGAGGTAGATAGAATAAAACAAAATAGTTTCCACATCACACAAGAAATATGTATTAAGGAATGTCATTACTGATTTGTTTCTTTGCCAGTTTGAAGAAGCAATTCGCAACCAATTCACATAAAAAGCTGTTTCTAGAATATTAAATACGATCTCTGTCATGACGATTCTCATCATCTATCATTTTGAAGAAAAACTGCAGTTAAACGTACACTACAAGTCACTGACAATAAAATCAGCATGACAAAGATTGAAATTGTGTTTGTATAGATCGTGTTTTTTTTATAAATGATGAACAATTGTACTTGGTAAGTATCCTTGAATATGTATATAAACTTTGTAAAGGCTCTTTTGTGTCTTAGATGTCTTCTATTCCAATTTTTAATAATAATAATAGTAATAATGATAATAATGAGTGAATTTGTAACACGACAAATTCCACGCCAGCTGGTATGCTTATAGCGCTACAAGTAAAGTTATTTGGGTGAGAGTCTAGACAAAGTACTTCTTAAATAGAAACGTTTGGGGCTGTTTTGAGATCTTCATGACGATAATTCCATAGAACAGCTGTTGGTAGGCAAATGATCTGAATCCTGATCGTTTCAGTCTGTATGTAGGCACTGTGCACATAATATGGGACTGGGATCTTAGAGTTCTGGTTGGAATGTACTGGCTTACAAGTTCACACAAATAGCATGGCGCGATACCGTTAAGGCACTGGTATGCGAGTACAAGAAGTTAAACTCATTTCTAGCTGAGATATTCTGTTAATATATATCTTTTTTATCATATTTGAAATTATATGATTGCAGAGAGGTGCAACAGAACGTATCATTTTATATACGGTAGAACCTCACAGACACTAAAATGAATTTCAGTGATTTACTGTCATTTTGTTTCAAATCATATTTTGAACATTGTATTATAATATCATATAGATGATGATTGATTTAATTCGTCCGTGATAGTCTATTATAGAATTATCAAGTTCAAACATCGAGGGCAACACTTAAAGTACCGATTGCAAACTTCATTTAAACAACAATACATGACCTGAAATGAGAGATCAGCTCATTTCACCGCCTCGCTTCGAAAACCATCAGGTGATCCACTATTGCTATACGAACAATGATGGTCATCCTTGATGTATAACAGAATCAGGGGGAAAACATATCAAAACAAAACATAGGTCTATCATCGTTTTCGGGAAAACGATATACCGTCCATACACAAGCGTGAATGTTACCACTGAAGGTCAAGGCTAAACTGATTAAATGTCTCTGAGTGTAATAGTTAACGTACCACTCGTATCGCTCATCCGTCGTTCGTTGTCAGTTTAAGGTTGGACTGCCTGGGACAGCGCCACTCAAAAGTTACTGGAAAGAAAATAAATTTGGAAAAGATCACCCATTACCCTTGTGTAGACTGAGATAATTTGTGCTGCTTTATGCGAGGGTTACACTATGTTTCTGGCGGCCACGGCAGCCCCGTTTCGCCTAAACGTCGTGTAGCGGGTACAAAACGGGATGGACGTGAGACATCGTGGGGGGATTGAATGAGCAAACGTGACAGGCCGTGGACAACATGCCAGATTTATAAACTGTTCAAATATTTGACTCAGCAGTCACGGTACACATGGGAAACATTGTAGAACATAGTAAAATGGGGGGAACGTAACCAAACGTGACAGCATGTAATACAGGCCGTAACAAAACTTAGACGGTCCGAAGTGGGACTGGGGGCATGTGTATTCCCCGGCTTTTCACGGTCCTTTCAAGTTTTGTTACTTTTGGCAACGTTTGTTTGGCGTTTTGTCGCGATTGTTTCACCCTTGATGCCCGTTTTGTCCGTGGCATCAAGGGTGAAACAATTGTCACGGCAAACTAGGTTCTATGGTAGCCGTTTCATCCTGTTCTATGACGACGCATCCAGACGTGTGAAGGTTTACAGGCGTGATACGGCACTATACGTTCTCTGGCATTCACAATCTGCAGCTGACGCTGGCCTTCTTGCTGACTCAAATACTCGATATCTTCTTAATCTTGGGGGTACAGCTCTCGGGATACAATGGCTGCTATTGCTTGGGAAGCTTTATGTTATACTGTGGGGACAGGCGTGCTCCAAACGCCACAGGCCGGGAGGAAATGTAATGGCATCCGTAGTGGACTGCGCGCCAAGGGGTGTACGCCCTTGAGCAGCAGCCCGTTTATCCAAATGGCCCATTACGGATACCGAGATAGACCGTGAGAAAACATAGCAGGACCAAACAAAACCTGACTTTGGTGGAAACAAATGGCCACAATCCCACGGCGCAAAAACGGTTTGGGGGAAACGGGGCTGCCATGGCCACCGGGAACATAGTGTAACCCTAACATTACTTGAGTACAGTGCATGGTGTCTCAAGACCTACATATGGATATAGAAATGGTTGTGTTGTCGTTACTGGAAGTGTGCAATGGGCATCAGGTGTTGTAACTTAATTATTGTCTCTTCTGTGATAGACATGGAAAATACAGCATTTCGTTGATATCAGGTTTGGTTGGGAATTTCAACATCGTAGGATATTTGTAGGAACAGCATCAACCCCGTGAACAGGCACCGCGATTTGCACCAAGTAAATAATTAAATCTGGGTTCTACTATCTCTACGGTTCACTCTCACTTAGCCAGAGTCTATCCAAAAGGGTCTTGTTAAGATGCGAGCCAGGTAATTAGCATTACCACTGAAGCGTGAGCCTTTGTTTAAGGGCTATAGTCTATATATACAATGCGACATGGTTTAAGAAGTATGCAAGTGTGTGTGCGTTTGTTTGTAGTATGAAAATTCGGTTTAAACATATCTATTTCTGATATATTGTTCAGAAACCGGATCGGCAAACAAGCAAAAAGCTTATATTGATGCCTCTCCAGACAAAATAATATTTATGCGACTTGCATTTCATAACCTTATTACAAAAGTACATGATATCATAACTTACATTAAGCATACAAAATACATGAATATGAACATCCATACAGCAAAAATACTTTCAGTTCTGGAAAGGGCCAGATGAAAACCAAATGAATAGCGCTCCGGAATACAGATAAATTATAGATATAACAATCGTGAGGAGAAAAGCATGCTATTAACAAACAATAAACAATAGCTTTCTGGAAATGTAACAATCAAAAACTGTAATATAGCCGCTTATAACATTAGAACCATTAGTGTCGGAAACTACTTAATAGTAAGTGCAATTTCGTTTTTACTATTACAACACGAACCTGCCTGACAGTACAATGAAAGAATGGATAGATTCTAATAATTCAAGATTATCTTTAGTAAATCCATTAGGGTGGCCGTATAGTATCGATTTGATGTCATATCCTTTAGCATAGAGGTGCATTTTATGTCTCTTGTCAGTGTAATTAACGCACGAAATGAAATAGTGAATTGGATCTTCGTAACAATAGCCACAAGAACAAGAGGGATTTGAAGATATAAATCGTTGATATTTATGTGCGTTTAAATTGCTGCAACCGAGACTGAGGCGTGAATGGATAATCTGACAGAATCTTGATCCAGAGTTGAAATTTAAGTAGTTTTGACTATCATTATTTGACACATTAATCTGTTTCTTAAAACTACCCAAAGTAGCCGATTCTCTATGATCGGTAGACAAAGAATTCCACAATCTTACTTTATCTTGGAGAATTGACTTTTGCACTTTTGCACTTTTACTATGGAAGGTTTGGAGCTTCAAACGATCTCGGAAAGTGTAGTTTGTAGTGTCAGATACCTTAGGAAAAACGAGATTGCTCTAATATTTTTAAGTTTAATTTTTAACCATTTTATAGAAAAATGTTTTTGGATGTGTCTTCGAGTACATCGTGGGTTGGAAATTTGTCACATCATAAATTTTGTCATGACTCGTACAGCAAACAGGAATGAATCTCAATTATATACAAATCTCACTAATGTCCTCAAATCCTAAAAAAATATCAAATAATACCATATCAATGTACATGTACCTCACTTTAATACAAATTTCCCTAATCGCACTAATTCAGCATTTTGTTGAAACAAATTATGGCTCATCTGGATGAAGCGTAATCAAAACACTAACCCTAGTCAGCCAAATCCCACTCTGGCTATGCGAGAGACCTGTTTTGACAGAATCTGGCTAAGTGAGAGGACACCATCTCTACATTCACTATGCTGTCACCTTTCCATATATTTCCTTGATAAAATGATTTTATGATTTTAATCCAAGGTCGGCTTTGTTACGGTTTATCATGATATGTTTATGCTCTTAAATGTACGTGCAGGAGGTCGATTTTGTACTTCGATAGACCCAGACTGAATGTACGTTTGTGCTGAATAGGATGTAAACTGCCATGGGTAATGTTCACATTACAATGCATTGGATGGACGTATTTTGAATCGTACAGTTATGCGCAGTAAGAGATGACTTGACAAAGATCTATACGGATCACAGCATTTATCGAAAATGTTTCTTTGGATGCTAATATGTGGTTTCTGTCTTCCAGAATGGACTCCTTCCCCAAATGTTCTGTTTGTCAGCAGCAGTTTACCCTGAACGGCCCCGCCCCCTACCTACTGCCCTGTCTACACGGAGTGTGTGAGACATGTGTGACATCTGCAGCTGGTGGTGTGATATCATGCTCTACTTGTCAGAGGGAGGTCAACCTCACAGACATAAGCCTCCAGAAGGATGCAGTGAGACAGAAGGAAATATTCCATCTGACGGTCAAACATCGCCCCACAGAGCTTCTCTGTACACATGAAGATGACGGCAACCAGGCTGTGTGCTGGTGTCAGGACTGTGACGAGTTACTCTGTGAATACTGCCAGAACATGCACAGCAACTTCAAAGTTACCAGAAGCCATGTAGTCCAAAACTTCTGTGACTTGGAACCGACTGTCTCGGCCGTTCCCAAATTTTGCAGTATCCATAAATACGACCCCCTCTATCTGTTTGATAACAGCTGCAAGAAATTAATCTGTGCGAGATGTAGAATTGAAGATCATGCCGACCACGAAGTTGAGAAGGTTGATGTGGCTGCTGAAACTGTAACGAAACAACTGGGATATCATAAGAATGAACTATCAATGTTACAGACTCGCTACCAGGCAACCATGCAGAGTATCAGGCAAGGAACAGAATCCACTGACGAAACACACATTTCTTTGAAAGAAAATATTCGTCACATTTTCGAATCTTTGAGATCACAACTTGATCAAAGAGAGGAGGAACTTCTCATTGATCTAGAAAATCATACGAAGGAGACAAGGGCAGCACAGCATGTTCTTCTCACCGCCTGTGAAGAAGACAAGAAGACCTGCACCATGGTGTTAGATTACATCAATAATGTCTTCCTCTTTGCCTCAAAGTCAGACATCCTAGGCCTGGAGAGATATGTTGGGGAGATGACTCGGACCTGCCTAGACAATGCCGCGCCTCAAACATATGCAGTACCCACAGCTGTCTTCAACACCAACAGTTTGTCTAAACTGAAAGCGATTGTATCAGGATTTGGTGCCATTTTGACGATGGATATGGACGGAAAATCGGAAATAATTGCTGGTAACCTAATCATTTCATCTCTAACATTGGTTTCAGTGTTTGTATCTATTAGTGCAATATCCTGCGGCCTTTCTTCATGCATCTATATGATAGTCACGATATGGCTGACATCCTGCCGATGTGACTTAAGATCTTAATTTTATCTTACCCACTCATGAATCCATAATTGGAAATCCACTCGGTTAGGTGAAGACTAAGGATTTGTTCTTAAACATGTAGCGTTTGTAACATGCACAGAAACATAGTTCCAGTGTCTATACATCTAAATCCTTTTTGTGTTGTTTCAGACAGGGGTACTCAGACTGACGATGACTTTCTGGCAGACGTGGAAATGAAACATAAAATGGTGAGTGAAGGAAGTTGTAGTACATCATACTCAGGCTCACAAAGTGCCCAAGAGGCAGCTGATGGGATCGGGTGGACTTGATTGACACATGTCACCGATCCCTGTTTGCATAGATCGATGATCAGACCCGTGAAGTTAGGGGTTAGAATTGGTCTTCAGCAATCCATGATTGTCGTAAGAGCCAGCAAACGGGATCGAGTTGTCACGCTCATTTAATTAGTGGACACATGCCACCGTATCACAGTTGTGTAGATCGATGCTTATGTTGTTGATGACTGGATTATCTGATTATTTACAGACCATCGCCATACAACTGAAATACTGCTGAGTGTTAAACAACATACCAACAAAAAAAATCCCCACCAAGATGATCATGATGTTGATTACTGGATGTCAAGAATCCTTATTTACAGAGCCTTGCAATATTGCTGAGTTGGGCTTTTGATAACAGGCAAACAAAGTTTATCACAAAGGAGACGTTATGATGCAATGCTTCTCAACGTCATGACTAGTATTATTCATTCCATGAAACGTATCAGGTATTTTTGCCAATATCGTATGCACAAGATGATAAATTACATGACGAAAATATACCATATGTCATATCATATGTTGCAGGACATGAAAGAACTAAAGACGAAAATCGACTCAGACGAAAAGCACATTGAAAGCCTTACAAAGCTGACAGACAAGCTCAATTCAGAAATCGAAAGCTTGAAATCAGTATGTCCATTAATCTAGTTATGGAATAGTTTTGTCTGCTGATTGGTGTGTCCTATTGTTGTCCCTGACGTTGACGTCGCCGTCACGAATTTGTTCCAAAGGTGGATCTGCCAGATATAGCGGTCTTCGGCCTGTGTAGTGCCTCTTGGTCTACCTGATCCTGGGCGGTATTGGATCTGGCCTGTTTGCTAGAAGCAGTCTATCAGTTTCCTTATGGTGGCCTGACTGAATTTGAAGGTTCTTACCAGTGGCGTCGTGAACCCCATATTGGCAATACCGATAGTCCTGTGCGCTTGCGTTAATCTTGGCAAATTCATGGTGTTCTTTCGGGGCTACTGCTTGCTTGCTCTGTCCAGCATCGGTATCTATGCCACAATCATGCAGGTGCATGAGACACCATTACGTCTTTCACGTTTTGAAAAATGCACGATTCATACGAAGTTTATGGACAGCTGCATTGTCATAGAGGGCATGCTGTGTCTAGCCGAATGTCTTCTGCTTCGGTTCAAAACTTTACCAGTGTTAATGTGGTTGTTTTTTTATGTATACAAATACTTTGTACTCAAAAAGCGATAACTCTCTTTTGTCCGGTAGTTTATATACTCATCCCATTACATTTGCTAAATTGTTAACACAATGTTTCACTTTCGTCCATTTCCCAAATCTGATTTTATGACCTGTTGTGTGTCTCTGAGTAAATTGTGACCACCTTATTCAAGTCGCGGTTGTGTAATCGTTTATAGCTGCATTATTTAATGCATACAAACATGCCTTTGTTGAAAATAATACCCCTGTGACACAGGCAACGGCAAGATATTTCTTGATCTCATGATATATACATGTATGTTCTTGCAGCGCATTGATGAGAAAGAAGCCATTGAGAAGAAGGATGCCAATACAATAGATCTCTTGCTTGGTAAATACATGTTTTCTTTCTGCTAAAGAGAAGGTTGAATATGAGATTCGAAAACCCCTTTTTTCTTAGCCACTGGTTCCCGGATATGATCTCAGTGCTTTTTATATCGAATGATTCTTTTGGTTTAAGCTTATCAAGTATACCTTACTAATGACATAACATCAAAAGTTCCTATGTCTCATCACACGTGTGTGGTGATGTGCCTACTGGTGTTTCAGATACTGCCAGAGAATGTGGTGTTCATCTGCTGAAGCCAGGAGCTGTAGACAGGTCTTTCATGCTGAAGTGTGAGTACATTTATCATGTATTACAGACAGAGCATTATTTACATATAGTAAAAAAAAAAGTATGGGAACACCCTAATTGTGATAGTATATATAAACTCAAGCACACAAAAAGGTTTCATTTACCTTAGAGTATAAATGACCTCACCTCGTTTAAGTTTATATATGACTATGAAATTTTCAAAATACTTCCCATACTTTTTGTTTGTAGTATATTTTGATGTTCAAAGCTGTTCTTCCAAGTAATGTTAAAAGAATACTATATATAAAGGCAGTTTCACATGTTCATCCATGGGGATGGTGAAGGCTCGCTGGCTTGATTGATGCATATCATTCCTTTCCATTTGCATAGACTGACGGTCACGGTATCACTTACTGGATTGTCTGGCCCAAACTCGACTATTAACAGTCTGCTGCCATATATCTGCTCATACCGATGCGGTGTTTAAAGCAAACTAAGGGGGAATCACAGTCATCTGGCCTATGGCGCTCAAATGAGTGTAGCATTAGCTGTACTCCACAATAAATCTCTGTTACTGTATCCTGATTTCGTCTCACTGAGGTAACCGACAGACACAGACCCAATTGTTTTCTATGAAAGGATGTGAGCGTATTAGATCCACGTTTCACAATCAATTTCATAGTAGAGTTTGCTTATTTTAAGATATTGATTTCATAGAATGGACGTAAAGTTGACGTAATGGCGTAATATATTCAAAGTTTTCGGTTGTGGGAGCCCTGACAATTGTCACTGGTCAGAGGGGTAATGGTGTAATATATTCATAGTTTTCGGTTGTGGAAGGCCTGACAATTTTCACTTGTCAGAGGGGTACACACAGTACGTGATCCGGGCAAACAGTTGTCCGACTTCCATTTATGTGAAAGTACTGGAATCTGTACTTTACTGATAAAGTGTAGTTCTGGCTACCACGTTTTACTGACGTCTACCAGGCCAGATATTAAGGATTTACAGTGACTATGATATCAAACTGCAACGTAAGATATACATGTAGTTAAATAAAGGACGGTAGGGTGGCCTTGTACTTAAAACGTTCGCTCGCCAGGCCGAAGACCCGGGTTCGATTCTCCACATGGGTTCAATGTGTGAAGCCCATTTCTGTTGTCCTCCGACGTGATACTGCTATAAAATTGCTTAAACCATACTCACTCACTCACTATGATTAAAAAGGTGTCTACCAGGTGACGGCGCTCTGGTTTGGTTGATGCACATCATTCCTTTCCATTTGCATAGACCGACGCTCAAGGTATCAGTCACTGGATTGTCTGGCCCAAACTCGACTATCAACAGAATGCTGCCATTCGTGCTAATACCGATTCGGTGTTTAAAAACAAACTAGGGGTGGAGGTGGGGGATCATAGTCATCTGACATGTGGCGTTCAAACGAGTGTAGCATCAGCTGTACTCCACAATACATCTCTGTTACTGTATCCTGATTTCGCTTAACTGAGGTAATCGACAGACACAGACCCAATCGTTTTAATGACAGGATGTGAGCGTATTAGATCAACGTTTCACAATCAATATCATAGTTGAGTTTGCTTATTTTAAGATATTGATTTCATAGAATGGACGTAATATTGACGTAATGGCGTAATATATTGATAGTTTTCTGTTGTGGGAGCCCTGACAATTTTCACTGGTCAGAGGGGCACACAATGTACGTGATTCAGGCAACCAGTTGTGACTTCCATTTTGTGTGAAAGTACTAGAATCTGTACTTTACTGATAAAGTGTAGGTCTGGCTACCATGTTTTACTGAAGTCTACCAGGCCAGATATTTAGCATTTACAGTGACTATGATATCAAACTGCAACGTTACATATACATGTACTTAAACAAGGGAAGGTAGGGTGGCCTAGTGGTTAAAGCGTTCGCTCGCCACGCCGAAGACCCGGGTTCGATTCTCCACATGAGTTCAATGTGTGAAGCCCATTTCTGTTCTCCCCCGACGTGATACTGCTATAAAATTGCTAAAATCATACTCACTCACTCACTACGATTAAAAAGGTGACTACCAGGTGACGGCGAGTCGAAACAGCTATGTGTATAGCTATGAAACACGACTGTGATGGGGTAACCAGTGTTTGACCACTTGATAACGCTGTCATTTTACTTTCCATCCTTGCTACGCCTTCATTACTGTCCGTCCGCCAGCCCAACCGTGCAAGATATTGTAGATCTTGGAACCTGTACAGTATTTCGTCACCAAACGACGTTAACTTGGCAGATGGATTGACCTAATAAGAAAGTGATGCCTTCTGAAGTTCAGATAGTGTACCATCGTCAGCCAAGTAAAACTAAGGGCAATTTCAGATTCAACCTAAGATTGCATAAAAAATGACAACCAGGAGCCTCTTTGTGCGTGCGCGCGCGCACGCGCGTGTGTGTGTGTGTGTGTTGTAAAACTGCAATGACACGCCAGTGTGATGAGGTAACAAGCGTTTCGTTGCTGATGCCTTTAAATTTGTAGAACATTATTCACGTCTACAATGTATTTTCACGAAATATAATTGCTATTCCGGTGGATAGTCATGATGTTGTTCTATTTAATACATACATGTTCACAAAAATATCAAATAGCGATGTAAAATAATGATTTGGCTTGCATCTTTGACAAAACATTTCTATCAACAATCAAAAATTCTCTCGCGCATATCTTAATGATAAATGGAATGAAATCTATATTCATTTGGACATGTTATACATGACTGACCCAATAAATAGAAGAAATAAAAATGTTGTCACTCTGACGCTGCTTACCAGCCGCAGTTTTTGGGTTCGGTGTGCATGGACAACTTAAATCAACCATGTTGACTCAAATTACAGTGAGCTTAACATTGTTTGACATGCAATCTACACGTTCCTCGTAATACCACGTTCGTCTGCGTTTCTGTTATAAGACACCAATGTACTGAGTCTAGGTGTACAGATCCGCTATGTGGGTGTTTATTGTACGCAGCAATTTAGAATCTGAACTGCAAATATGGCATATATGTTGTATGAATATTTTTGTTGACGTCCTGTGTCCACAATTTGATAACCGACGAAACACAAGCTATATCCGGAGTAGTGGCTTATCAGTTAATTCAATGTGACTCAGTGCTAAGGTCAAAATGTAGGGTTTATTGCTGCATTCCGATTATATTCCACTGTTTGAATATAGGTACATTTTACTAAGCTGTGAATTCCGAGTATTACAATATCATTATTGCGAGAAATTATAAGTGTTCTTCTCATGCATTTCACATCCATATGTTGTAGGTATACCGCTAAAGTATGATAAAGCCAGCGTCAATCTCGACTACGTCCACATCAACACAGAAGGATACCTGGTCAACAGGAAGTCGGACACAAGGCCTGAAGGGGAAGGGGGACTGAAGAAGTACCGGGGCACATGCAGTACTGTCCCCCTCCTCATGGATGGGTGTCCTCAGTACTGGGAAGTAGAGAACATGGTCAGTGTGGACAAACCGCTCTCAGAGAACTTGTTCATCCTGGAGGTTGGAGTATGTAGGGAGGAGCAAAGGGACGTGCTTCACTGGATAGGTGGACGTCCTCACACTTACTGTATGACCGTCGCCGACTGTATTACAGACGGCGGGATATGCAGGAGGATAGGGAAGGAGGGGAATCGTGTGCTGCATCTGCCGGACACTCTCCCCAACACAGCAGGGGCACCACACACACTACATTACGGTGTTGTCTATGATGGCGCCAGGAAGAAGATTGTCTTCATTGATGTGAAGGAGAAGAAAGTCATGTCGACGTTAGACAATGTAGACTGCAGTGAACCACTGTGGCCGATGTTCGGGGTGTATAACCCAGAGTGCATAACTGTCAGCATGAGACTTGTAGTGGGCAGCGACATCAACATGACGGAGGAGAAGAAAGCGATGATTGTCAAGGCGCTGTCGTGATTTGAACTCACAAACATTCGAATTGAATACTACTAAGGAACACTTAATAACTTGATAATATCTTCTACATACAACATTTACATACAACTCTGTGAAAATTACTATTTACACAACACAAAGCCAGTAGTAGCGACTACATCCAGTGTGTATAATTATGAAATGCAGGATTCCAAATCAACTTAGTATGTAAGACGAGTTCTGATTGGTCAATGCTATAAATTTCCGACCGTATAATCAGCATATACGGTCGCAGTTTGAAACCCGATTCACCAAAACCTGCCTATCCAGCTAAATTGGTGGAATGTGTGTTAGAAAAAGACAAAACAGTATCATAAATTTCATTTGAGTTAAAACAACTTACTGGCAACGGGCTGTTGACCCAACACTGTTAGATCATGAAACAAGATTTATGACGTCACTATGACGTCATTTCACAACAGAACTGATAATAGCCCGTAGGTGAGGAATCATCAGGGAACTACTATTTCTAGCGATGGTGTAAGTTCAAGGAATGATGTGATTAACTTTTGACCTACAGGAACTTTGACCTGGTTTAAATAATGAAAAAAAAGTGTAAAACGAGTTGAATTAGAATTGGGATAACTGTACTGTGTTTTGACGAATGGGGGACGTATGCCGGTGGTTATATAGCCCCAAATTTAACATTATATCGGCTCCGCTTCAGCGTCGCCGATATAACTGAATTTCGGCGTCGCCAATATAACGTTAAATTTGCAGCTATGTAACCACCGGTGTACGTCCCCAACTCGTCAAACACAGTACATGTATCCCCTAAATATGTATGCGTGGTGATTATATGTTAACAAATTAAAAACAAACAGTAGACAATTTGTTCTTGTTGAATTCCTTAATTTCCATCAGAGATGTCGCTACAATGGCGTGAGGCAAGCACACATTGCAAGGGTAATTGCATTTTCGAGTCTTGCAGCTGAAAGTATGATAAAGGACAACACGCCTTACAAATATAAAGAGTGACGAAGTACAAAAGCTTCATGGATGTTTTCCCCGTCTCCACTTCTTGCACGGTAATTCGTGAACATATTTTACGGATACTTCAGTGACTATTTAAGTTTCAGATCGTTGGTACATGTTTCCGCCGACTGTGATAATATTTCGTCCATTTAAAATTGGAAGTCCTTTACATGGTGTACCCACTGCATTTGTAGATTCGCACCCGAGAGTCAAGAGAGATGCTTATAACCACTAGGCTACCCAACCGCCTCTGTTCAACAGTGGTATGGCTTCATTCAAATCTTCAAAGTGACACAGAACAGTGTATGCAAAAAGCTCCGAAAATGAATATGTGTAGGAAATATTACCACAAAGATGAAGGTCAACTTCTTGCATAATGTGTTTATATGGGTTCACATAACAAATATCACACAGCTGCTGTGTTATTGTTACCGTCATTTCCAAAGGTTGTAAGGAAACCTTTCAAATATAATATAAATAACAGGTGATCATCTCACCACACATTAGCAAATATATCTTGTTCAACGGCTTGGTATCTTTCTTCGTAGAAAGGGTTGTGCAACATTCCAAGGCAGTTATGCGTTATTTTCGCTAAAAACAGAGGCGGTCGGATAGCCTTGGGGTTAAAAGCATCTCTCGTTACGCGCGGGTTCGACTCTATAAGTGCAGTTGCTGGAATATTACAACCATTTACGTAAACCTGTACCAACGATCTCAAACGTAAGAATTTTCCGAGCATTTCTCATATACTGATATTACTTAATATAAGAATTCATGCCTACAGAGATTGGTTGCTTGGTTGGTTGTTTAACGCCGTACTCAGACATTTTCCAGCTATATGGCGGAGGTCTGTAAATAATTGAGTCTGAACCAGACAATTCAGTGATCAACACTATGAGCATCGTCCCACGCAATTGGGATACAATGGCATGTGTCAACCAAGTCAGCGAGCCTAACCGTCCGATCCCGTTGGCGCCTCATACGACCAGTTCTGAAGACCAACTTACAGCGGCAGTATTCGAGCCACATCGTGTCTAACACAACAACGTTAATCAAACATTATAAACAATAGAACCTGTCAACAACGGACAGTAAAATAACGAGAGGGTCACAGATATAAGTATAGTATGACCAGAAATTATTGAGAATGTTAGGAATATGTTCAATTGGATTTCTAGTATAAACAACCTTGACCAGCTATCAAGTGCTTGGTTTCATTCAAGAAAGACAATTCCGTTAATCCTTTTTCATTAGTTTGTGAAGAGTTATCCCCCTTTGTTTACTTGCTAGCAGACAACATTTTCAGTGATCCTCAGTATTGATGATTTAGAGAACAGGAAGTTCATTATAGAGTATTATAAGAAGGACATCAGATCAGCTAAAGTGATTTCAAGTAGAACAGGCATCCCTTTGTCCACTGTTTATCGTGTTTTGAAAAATATTGCAAATGGATATGGCATTGAGCACCAGGGAGGCGCAGGTAGGCCCAGAAAATTGACTGTCGGTGACAGGGGGCAGCTTGGTATTCTTGTATAACAAACGAAGGAGTTTAGAAAACTTAAGGCTGGATATGACTGATAGAGGAACTGTGGCTGTCTGTTAGGAGACAATTTGAACTGAGCTGCATGCAATGGGTTGGAAGAAAAGTCGACGAATTCCACCACCGATCATGAAACCTGAACAAAAGGAGCGAAGGTTGAACTGGTGCTTACAGCATAGAAATATTAACTGGGACAATGTGATTTTCTCAGATGAAAGTACTGTGTGGCTGTTTCCTAATACACTGAAATTCTGGACCAAACAAACTGAAACACCTTTGTATCAGCGCCCAAAGTACGGAACGAGTTCCGCCCATACACACCCCACCCCACCCCCACCCCCATCTAAAATATGTTTAAATTCGCAATGACAGCTCTAGGATTATAAAAAATGCAACCAACACTCAGTAACGTCAGGGCAAAATAGCAACTTAATATGATTAGTTAACACAACTGGAACACCCTCTGGGAATAGAACACTATCATTCACCCACGAAAGACGCCATGACACTTGGCAAGGAAGAAGCGGAAGTATGACATATTCCTCACAACTAATTCATATAATATAACGAGCATCACATGAAATAAAATTATTATTATAATCATTACACTTACCATCAATGTTGACCGGGGTACATTAAACCGATGTCCTGGAGCAGAGCACTGAAAATCTCGCCCCGTACCCCCGCGAGGTGCAGCGTAAAATCACCCCGCCGAGTGTGTGTGGCCAGCAACTGGCGCTTGATGCACCACCATCTGTTTTCTATTAAGTTGGTGCAAGCACCGGTCACTGGATCTGTAAGTGGTTCAAACGGAATTACTTACAATTATACAATTTCCAAAGGCAAAACAAAGTACAAAGACGTGAACATGATAAATACGAACATTATGCTGAAATACCTTTGAAATTCGGAATGGTTTACATTGGTGTGGATATAGCCCAGGTCAACAAGTCCGTCGTAACCCTTCCAACAGTCCGTAATAATGTGACTACCCCGAGCTACATTGTCCGTAATGATCCTCTCAAGCGTCTGTTTGTCACGTTTGTCCACTGGCACCAAAAATAATTCCCTACTTTCTCTACAAATTCCTCCCAAAACCCGCTGGCCCTCGACTACTCTACCCCGATGATACTTACGTTTACCAAACTTACTCTCATCAATCTCTACCGTCATGCCAGGACCCCCTATCATGTTCGAACTGTTCCTTTCCACGACTGAAGAGCATACCTCCCGACAGTACATGAAATAGTCCGCTACAGTTTCTCTAGATGTTTCCAGTACTCTCCCATCCTTATCACAATCAATACTGGTTTCTCTGATTGTGTCAGTATAACTCATCTTATGAGCAAAACAGTAGGTAAGGAGAATAGTCTTATTCAAAGACAAATTGGAACCAAAAAAACCATGTACCCCTCCGTGCAGGAACTTGGTTATTGTTAGATTTTTTGCCTACCTTTTTATTACATTGAAATCTGAAAGCCACCTTCTTACCCTTTCTGTTAATACCATATGTGCGAGTTAGTACTTGGTGACAGTTAGGGCAGTGAGCTTGTGCTGGTAAAACACTGTAGCGTTTATAATGTCAGTATTGTAACAGCGTTGACGTTTGGTATTATAATGTCAGTATTGTGACTGGCGTTGTTGATTGGTATTATAATGTCAGTATTGTAACTGGCGTTGACGGTTGGTATTATAATGTCAGTATTGTGACTGGCGTTGACGGTTGGTATTATAATGTCAGTATTGTGACTGGCGTTGACGGATGGTATTATAATGTAAGCATTATGACTGGCGTTGGCGGTTGGTATTATAATGTCAGTATTGTAACTGACGTTGGCGGTTGGTGTTATAATGTCAGTATAGTAACTGGCGTTGACGTTTGGTGTTATAATGTCAGTATTGTAACTGGCGTTGACGGATGGTATTATAATGTCAGCATTGTGACTGGCGTTTACGGTTGGTGTTATAATGTCAGTATTGTAGCTGACGTTGACGGTTCATGCTATAATGTCAGTATTGTTACAGGCGTTGACGATTGGTATTGTAATGTCAGTATTGTAACTGACGTTGACGTTTGTTGCTATAATGTCAGTATTGTGACTGGCGTTGACGATTGGTATTATAATATCAGTATTGTAACTGGCGTTGACGTTTGGTGTTATAATGTAAGCATTCTGACTGGCGTTGACGATTGGTATTATAATGTCAGCATTGTGACTGGCATTAGCGGTTGGTGCTATAATGTCAGTATTGTTACAGGGGTTGACGGTTGGTGTGATAATGTCAGTGTTGTAACTGACGTTGACGGTTGGTGCTATAATATCAGTATTATTACAGGCGTTGACGATTGGTATTAGAATGTCAGTATTGTAACTGACGTTGACGGTTGGTGCTATAATGTCAGTATTGTGACTGGCGTTGACGTTTAGTGTAATAATGTCAGTATTGCAACTGC